CACCCGCCCACAAGAATCACTATCCCTCCCCACCAGGCACCAGAATATCATCCCCTTTCTCCAATCAAAACACCCACACCCCATATATATAAGAGTAAAACATAAAAGAGACCCTCCCCATCATCCCATATCCCCCTTCTAAACAAAGCCATCCATCCCAAACCCAGTTCCCCCAAACCAAACAAGAAAACAAGAAACACTCTCTCAGAAAACAGACAAAAAAAAGAAACCCATCTCCCAAAGAGAGAAATAGAGAGAGAAAGAAAGAAAGAAAGAGAGAAAGAAAGAAAGAAAGAAAGAAAGAAAGAAAGAAAATGCCCCCAAAACCCAGAAAAGAAAAGGAAAAAGAAAAACAAACCCAAGAAGAACCCCTCCTCCCACCCTGCGAATTCACAACCCCCTGTCCAGCAGCAACAGACGACGATAGTAAAACCAACAATCCACGCCGAAAAGTCATCTCGCATATATTCGGCCGCAATAAGTACGCCACGAAGCGGTTCCCGGACCATGTGTGGGTGCATTACTGTCGACAACATTACCAGCGGGCGCGGTATCGGGTCGAGTGGCCGGTTACGCAGTGTGAGTTGTTGATGGTTGTTCTGGGGAGGATGGAGAGGTGGGGTGGTGTTTTGGGGTGGGAGGTTGTGTTGAGGAAGAGGGAGGTGGAGAGGTTGAAAGTGGTGGAGGATGGAGGGGAGGTTACATCTACATCTACTTCTTATACTACTGCCACGACTGAGTGTGATCTTACCACGCTCTCGTCGGGGTCGGGCTCGTCGTCTGCCTTTGCTGGGCTTGCCCCTGTCGGTGATGGTGCGCGGGTACAGGGCGAATGTGGCAGACGCAGGAAACCGACTATTGTGGCTTCGCCTGTGCCGGGTTGGCTTCTGGGGGAGGTTGGGCGGGATAAGTCTTTTGCGGATTTGAGGGACCTTGTTCGTCGGGTGCGTGGGGAGATGGATTCTCTGCGCGGACAGGGTGTGCCGGCTCGTCGGATTGTGTTTCCGGATATTGAGCTTTTGCCGACGTTTCAGCCTTGGGTTTTGGCTCCGGCGAAGAAGAGACAAAGGTGTGGGAGGAGGGATGCAGGTAGAGGGAAGAAGGGTGGGAATGGGAAGAAGGGTTCTAGGGTTAATGGGAAGGGGATGTGAACGTTCACGAGGTAAATTGATTGAATTTCATTTCTTTCTTTCATTTCGGCGTTGAGATGGATTGAAACAACTAGTCGAGTTGCATTCCTGTTATTCGGTCAGTTCTGGACAGTTTGATATTGAAGTCAGTCGGTATCATTCAATGGACAGAAACTCACGTGTCATAAACATTACTCGTAGACATCTAGTCTGTATGTACATTCAAAAAAGAACGAAAAACCACCAAGCTAAACAGAATGTCGAAGCAGGGAAAAGAAAGAAAGCGGCATAAAAACGCAGAACCGCAAATCACAAATGCACCGCCGTAAACGTATATCGAATCGTACCACCGTTGACATATCGTCTCCATAAGAGTTGAATTAAGAATGGTCGGGGATCAACTCATAGCCACCTTCTGACGGCAGTACGCGACCGGCAACAATAAGGGCAGCCGCACAGAGCAAGCTGACACACCAGCTAATGGTACAATAAATCCAGGATTCATCCAGTCTCCAGCCGGGGAAAAACCGCGGGTCATGGTCGTACAAATAGGCCTGAAGCAGAGATATTTAGCACGAATTATATTTCTAAGCCAGCCAGGTTGATCAAAACGTACCACAATCGACATGCTCGCCGCCTGAACAACGACCGATAACACGATCAACAAACTGAGAACCTTCCACCCGGATTCCCGCAATCGCTTCCCACCGGTTAATATGATCAAGTATGCGACGATACTCATGCCCTCCAAAACGACGGCAAAGGACATAAGAAAGCCCACAGAGCGCCACATGGAACAGAAATAGCGGCCCCGGCCACTGCAATCGTCCTGCTGGGGGAAACTAACGCAGGCATCGGTGACTGAGGAACAGCGCCGATGGAGGCCGTATGAATACCAGATCTAGATCGATGGAAGGGTTAGTACGCATGCTGATCGAGACATGAAAACAGCAAATAAAACTACAAGAGATTCCGCACCTGATCGTTGGAATAGCTGATCCATTTTGGGACGACAATGGAGGATACGGTTAAGCCGAATGCTGCCTTCCCCGTCAGTCTGTCGTCATACTCGTTTGCCAAGTTACGATTGCGACGGGCGCACTTACAAGCTAGAAAGACAATTAACGATGATGTGTAGACAATGGTTTTCGTTAGAAAGCCTGTGTAGTTTCGATCTTCGCCGCGTGGTACCAGATGGAAATCCATCGTGGGGGTAGTGGTAGTGGTAGTAGTAGTAGTATATATATTTATATGAAATGACGACAGAGGGAGGAGTAAATGTTGAGCGATCGCGACGACCGGCCGATCGGGGAGATTAAATGACAGGTCTCGAGGATGGATTACGGGGATTTTGATCCACTAAGGAAAGGCAGAGATCTTCCAGCCCGAGAGATAAAGGTTTGTACTGTTAGTGGAATAAATTTAATGTGTCATGGAAGGAGAGAAGAAGAGAAAGGGAGAAGAAGTGCGAGCGAGAGCGATTAAGTTGGGTTTCATGCCTGAGGTTTCCCACCCGGCCAGGTGATAAAAAAACGACGACGGGTGCGGAGCTCCAGCTTTATTCTTGGTGGAGCTTTTCTCCTCAATTCAATGGGACAATATTTTTACACTTTAGAACTCTAAATTTGATTTTAGAGACCTTCAGTATTCAACAACAATTAATTCACGAGAAGAGAGGAGGAGGAATTAAAGAAAAAAAAAAAAAAAAACAGAGAGAGAGAATCGTAAGACTTTTTTTGTTTGGAATGATAGAAAAACAAGGAAATGTATGTATGAGAGCCTTAGAAACAGGTGACTCGGACGATCCTCGCGGGCTGTACAGTACAGAGCGTACATACATTCATACTACCATACCACTTGATGTAGTAGTATGATTGTATGATTGTATGTATGTATATGTACTGTACTGTTCACCCCACCTGAAAGGGACTCACCTCCCTCAAATCCACCGTACAATCACATATAACAGACGAAGTATCCGAGAGATGTTTTCTTTTTATACGTGATCATTTGAGTTCTTCCAAGACTGATGATAACGGGAGGTTGGTTCTGATACGGAGGATTGCATACGAAAAATGCCTCAGGATCGGTCCAAGCGTCTCCCACCCCCCCCCCTCCCGCCGCGCGCTTTGGGCGGTGAGAGATTAACTCTAATTCCTTAGTCCACATCGACTAGTCTGTCATATCACCCAAGCTCTGGCCAGCAATGGCTCAGAGAAAAGTCGTGCTAAAGCAAGTCATTCTGTCACGCGAAAATACTTGTCCAACTATGTAGTTTGTACTAGATTGTATTCATCTTCTACTCATAATGTACATGAATGGGTAAAGACCCAGGCGCGTTGACGTCACGTTACATACATGGGGTGTTACATTGTGAGACTCGGTCCTCAGTACTACTATAGGGTTACGAACAATGTCGAGGCAGTCAGTCATGAACGAGATGCGCGGATTCATTCCGATGGGAGACGGTGTACGCCCTCCCGGGTTATCTAGCGGCGACTACTAATTATGTAGTGACTTCAAAAGTAATGGTAGAGAAAGAAAGCGAAGAGAAAAGCCCGCAGGAACAAAGAGGACAAAGATACACAACAGTAATCTACAGTCAATAGCAACCTGCAAATCCAGCTGCAAAATAGTGGTAGAAACTTGATCATGGTACTTATACAACGAACATGGCAATGCAACACCCACCAGGGACAAATGTGACAGAGAGTTCAAATCAATTCATTTCATAAGAGACATAGGGAAATAGGAAGGGCAAAAAAAAAGAAAATTAAGGGCAAGCGACTGGGGAGGAACGCCAAACCTGCCATGCAATTCGTTGCGCCAGTACCTCACTCCTCGCGACCCCGCTGGATCATCGCACGGAAGTCATCATTGCTCTTTTTCGGCTTCCCTCCTTCCGCGGAGGGTGCGCTGTCGGTCGTCATCATTGTCGTCGTCGTCATCGTTTTCTCTCCGTTGTGCTCTCCATGAGGGACGGCGCGTTTCACCCCGAGACCCCCTCGCCGGCCACCCCGCGAACCGGGCTGTGGTGGTCGCTTGATCGGCCCCGTGGGCTGGAGGAATGCCCCTTGCTTCTCCTTCGGTTTGCTGGATGGTTGTGTGCGACCGTCCTTATTCTCGGCGGACTGTTTCAGCATCTCTGGTACTGTGCCCACATGCAATTTGCGCCCGGGCGCTATCTCCTGACCCTCGAGCTCCAAAGAAGCCCGACCGGCATGATTAACATCGGCAAACTCCACAATGGCCCCCTGGTGATCGGGCCGTAAGACAACCTTGATCAGTTTGCCGTAGGGCTCCACAAGGGCCCGGATGCGCGCGTCGTTCACCGTGTCGGGAATATTCATCAGTCCCAAGCTACGCGCAGCCCGTTCTCCGCTAGCAGTGTCCGCATCCGCTGATGCTTTACTCCCGTTTACTTCGGCTGCAGGGGATTGAGATTTCCCGACATGAGACACGATGGTGGTCGCGCTTCGCTTAGTGCTCTGGGGAGCGGAAATCTTCACGTGGAGGGTTCGCGAGCGATACTCTTGCCCGTCCATAGCAACAGCGGCAGTGGCTTCCTCTTTATTTGAAAAAACAACATAACCAAAGCCCTTGCTGCCACCGTCGACCTTCCTAGGCAGGCGGACCAACTCTACGGTCCCATACTTCGAGAAGAGCTCCTGGACATCACGCTCACTGGCCTTGAAGTCTACATTCGACACGTGGATCTCCCGTCCTTCATATATAGGACCATGACGGTCTTGTTTCCGAGAAGGATCCGAGATCTTGGCCGTTAGCGTTAGACCTTTACCAACCGTAGTCCCATCCAACTTGGTGGCGCTATGCGCTGCCTCTGCGGTCTTGAATTGCACGTAACAGAAACGTCGGTGCGTATTATATTTGAGCGATGGGAAGCGAACATCGATGATCTCGCCACACTGCTAAATGTCAGTGACGCTATGTCGCTAAGGGATGGTAAAGAGGGATGGAAACAAACTCACCTCACGGAACAGGTCACGAATGTAGTTTTCATCTGCCTCCGGAGGAAAATTGGTGACGAACAATGTCGAACAGGTCCCAATCTGCACTTCGATGGTACTATCATCCAGTGATTTCTGATCGCGTGTTTGCGCAACAAGGGCTTCGTCCCTTGTATTAAACTCGATGACCGCAACCTCCGAGTTCCCGTCGCCCGGAAACATCTTGACGCTGTTTATCGTACCACACTGCCATGCTACCAATTAGTTGTAAGTTTACCAGATGGGCGATCAACAAGAACAACGTACATGACGGAAAAATTGTCGAACTTTATGTTCGGTAATCTGACGGGGTAGGTTTTTCACCACAACTGTCGCGTTTTCACGGTCTCTCCGAAGGGCCGCTGGCTCTGCTTCCGCAGCCAATGTTTCCTCTTCTCCGCGAGCCTTTTTAGCAGGCAACCCATTTACATTAGCTTCCTCCTCCTCCCGTTTCCTCTTTTCAGGGTGCGTCGCTTGTTCGGATGATGCGGCTTGCTGTGCGTGCTGCGCGGCCAGTTCTCGCGCGTCACGTTCTCGCCGGGCCCTGACTGCCCGCATTGCCTTCCTCGTTTCCAAAATGGCCAGCTGTAATTCATCAGAGTCCTCATAATCCTCACAATGTGCGATATAGGTTTGCATGATTTTCTCGGGCCAATCCAGGTCCGTCCGCTTGATAGCTTGTTTCAATACGGCGGTGGCAAAGCTGGGGTTAGGGGTCCGGCGCGCGGCATCAACGGTGGCTTCACCTTGCACGAATTTGCTCCATGAGATCAATTCCCATTCGTAGTACGTGAGCCAGAACTCGTAGCTGTTGCCTCGTCGACCCATCAGACCCTTGAAAGTTTCCCGTGCACTATCCCAACTGCCACTTTCACTGAGATAACGAATGTAGATGCGCTCTAGGCGAAACAAGGGATCGCCCTGGTAGGACCGACCGTACTTCTTCTCACCCAGCTCTTGAACACTTTCGATGGCAGAACGGATGCCAACTTCTGCGACGTCGAGATCTTCATCGGTGGAGTCCGACATGAAAGCTCTCCGACGAAGGTAGCTGCACCATGCCGTATGCACCTTGAGAACTTCCTCCATGCCAGCTACATCAAGGAGACCAGTGCTGGTGGCTTTGTGTTTGATGTCGGCAATCTTGGAGAAGGACTGACCCTCCCGTTCTGAGCTGAGTAAGTACTGAGACCAAAGAGTACCGGAGCACGGACAGTGCCGAGTTGCCCGTTCCAGGGTAGAAATCGTCGTGGTGTTCGTATTACCATGCATGGATTCATCGATGAGGAACATGACAAAGTCCTCCCACATGCTGGCGTCGGTTGGGAATCGAAGCACTGCACGCTGGTAGACAGCGTTGACCAACTCAAAGTTGGCATGGCGGTTGCGATGATTATTGCTGACTTCCCACTCAATGTATTCCGTGTAGATGGTCCACTCCTGTGTGAGGTCGCCCGACTCGGTGGCATTACGGAGTCGGATTTCAAACTCTTCGCGAGCGGAGTATTGTTCTTTGCAAGCCGTTGCATATCGGCCTGCAGTGTCTGCCATGATGGTTTCGTAATTTGCGTTGTAATAGGTGGAGACAAAACCCGAGAACGTCTGGAAAGTCTGATCCCAGGTGGCATGAGGGGTTTGCAGTCTGATGTCGAATAAGTTCCGCACATGGCTAATCTTCTCCTGACTTGGGTTTCGAGTGATGTCCTGCATCTGCAGGTCGAGCAGTCGATCCCAGACCAGATGGCTATCGGGCGTCCTCCATCGAGTCGCTTCGGCACCCCTCTGCCAAACATCCAAAACCGACTGCCAGGAGAAGACCTCGCGACCGATCGCGCGATCCTCTTCCGTCCACTGGTGTTGACCACCCTCACCGTGCGCAGAATTATAGAGATAAAGAACCCATTCCCCGTAGATACTCCAAAGCTTTGTACTGCCGTACTCTTCCTCCACTGACCGCTGGCAGAACTCCATCACTGCAATGCGCTCATCCACGGTTTGTGCGAGCATGCTTTCATCTTGTATCCATTCGGCCCAGAGGTCTTCCCCCAACGCAAAGAGCTTGTCCATCTCTTCGCGAGCGGTCCGCATATCCTTGAGCAGATCATACTTCCGAGGGTCACCATGAATCTCGGGGTTGTTCGGTGGGTATACATGGTTAACGAATCCCGCATGGAGTAGCCGAACGAAGTTTACATGCGCGTCGTACGACTGAGGGTTTTCTTGAATTTGAGCAAAAAGCTCGGTTGCCAACCGCTGTGCATTCGGAACCAACGACGTTTCCATATAGTTTCTGCGGGCGGCCTCCCTGGGGCCATCTGACATGGCGATGTCGAATGACGATCGTGGCGTAGGTGTATTGTGGGCGACCGAACTGACATGGGGGTACATTGGCGAGGGAGAAAGCTGGCTCTCGTAGGATTCGGTGCT